TTCTATGTACATCTTCACAGTGGCGTATCTAAAGCCACCGCGAGTTAACCAAATTCATAACAGTACATGTTTCATAGTGATTCGACCATAACTAGTTTGCGTCAAGAATGGGCCCGGCTATGGCATTTCGAGCTACATGGAAGTACAATTTCAATGTAAATTTTCTTCTAACCTGGTCAAGCCACTAAGTAACTCGCTGTTTCGAACGTCAAATGTCCTTGAGGTCGCAGATTCCCCTGCACCAAAGTGTATGTGCTCAAATTAAATACGAACATTCATTGATGATACACTATCAGTTTTCAAAGGACATAATATGGTGTCATAGAAGCACAGCTAAGTTGAAATCCTTTTACCTTTAACTAGATGATGTTGTTGTACCAAGGCTTACAACATGACAGCAGACCTTGTACATTACCAAGAAGTGTGTTCACAGTAGGTGTACTCGCGGGGAAAGTCACGAAACGTCACTACAACCCATAATGTTGAACGTTCAACATAGCATCGAGAGTAATTTTGAATCCCACTGCTGCAACTTCATCATAACGGGAGTTTCGTCATGCTTCCGCAAGAGTACCTGCAAATTACCAGTTGTTTGAAAATAAAAGAATTGTTGACTTCTAAGATGCAATCACACCAACTTTGGGTACCTTTAAACACGGAGAAGCTTTATGCGCAGCTGTTATAGACCATCTGCCATGTCCCTGCTACGAAGGAATTATTTCTGCAGGAAAACTAACAAAAGTTGAATTAAAGGTTGCTGCTTAATCCTCATGACTCAAGATAAGCAAGCCACGCAACAAGTGAAATAAACCAAATCAGGAAATTAAACCGGTTCGGACTCGAGAATTGGATCAAAAGGAGGGTATTCAAATGCAAAGGCATAGGCTATTACTTCATGTGACTGTTATTCAAAACCAAGGAATTAATGCATCTGTCTATAGCATAAAACAGAAACCCCTTCATATCTATAGCTCATGTCACAATTGCCTAATTCAAATTCTGTAATGTGTAAGGAGCAGAGTACCACCTAGTCCTTTCGTATCAAAGTTGAGTATGCGACAGCTATTCTTGGACCAACACGGTTCACAAGACCTCTATGTTCTACACTCTTGAACCTGTCATTCGTTATGAGCTGCAATTCAAACAAACACATGGTTAATACTGACACAAAAAACTCCATTCACTTCACTTGTGTAAGAGACTGAACAATGCACAGGCAAGACAAGAACAACGACGGGCACAATGAGTCACTCCAAATGCCACCATCGAAATACATGAGAAGCAGAAAAACGATGTTAGATGTATATCCAATACAAACAAACAAGAAGCATAGATTGGATTGAAAAGAACCACGTAACCTACTAGAAAGCCTGAACGGAGCTTGTTTCAAGAACTTCCACAACGGCGTAACAACCAAGCTGACAACTTTGGCTTGTTGATTTTTCACCTGCATTCCAAGATGCGAAGTAATTAGTTACGCCAAAGATAATTGATTAAAAAAAGGGCTTGCTGTTTAAGATCACAAGGATGATAAACGCATCTTCGAGGCCATTGCTCTTGCGGCAACTCATAATTTTCTGGACATGGGATTTGGAGCCAAGGTCTTAAACTGGCAGAATTTCCACAGCTGTATTCATCAAAGTGGCACAACTTCCCATCATTTCCTAAGCTTTCGAAGTGCAACGTCGAACTATGAGGGCGCCGGAGCCATCGGAGACTGTTACCTGTTACAATGAAACAGATATTTCACATCAAATTCATCCCAATTTGGGAACTCAGAAACACAAAGACAAGTACTATGATGGTATTGATAATTTGGAATATGTTGGTTGTTTTGCTATGACTGAGCTTCACCATGGTTCAAATGCCCCTGTCCTCCCCGTGAAAATAGAAGGTTGAAACCACACCAAGAGAGCTTTAAACACTTGCAATACCGTACTCGAGAGAACCTATATCTTCTAACTTCAATTCCTGGAGCCCCTTGTCCGAGCTGAACGTAGAAAAAGAATACGAAGATTGTTATGAAGATATAGAAGTTTCACATGATTACCAGATGAAGGAAACAACAAGCTTTGAGAAACTCCTTGCAGATTAATCCCAGAATGATCAAACCCCTCATCTCCAATAGACGCATCAAGAGAATTCCCCTTCTGGGCTTCTAATCCACCTTCTGGCCCAAAACAGATCGTTATCCACACCTGCAAAACGCAAATCTCGAATCAGCAAACCCTCAGAGGAATATACCCGTGTGAGAAGAAAAGATTCGAAAAAGATCCCATCAATTTCCTAAGACATTGAACCTAGACAGAGGAGTTTTAACGGAATTGATACGGTATCAAAGATTGGATTATCATTTAAGAGATTGGAGCGAGAAAAGGAAAGTTTTCAAATTGATTTGTACAGAAATAGAAAACCCAATCAAGCCTTCAAAGCGTTTTATATCAGTTTTCAAAGCATTGATTCTCAAAAAGCCTATAAGAGGGAGAGATTCGAAGGGGAAAAAAGGGGGGACATTCGAAGAAATCACAGAAAATCGCGAAAACCTAGAGTTCCTAAAACACCAAAAGAGGGAGAAGAACTTATCTTTCCCGTGGACGAAGCCACCGCACGCCGCCGCGAACTTAACGGACGAGACATCCTGTTCCCATCATCTCTAGTGCCGCCGCTATCATCCGAACCTTCGGTGATTCCCTATCCCTATCTATGATGTTGATCTATTGATGTTTTGGTTTTGATTTCAGGTTCTAACGGGAGGGATTGACCGCGATTGGGAGAGAAGAAGGAAATCGAAGAGTAACGATTTGGGGTGAAGAGGGAGAATGGGGAATTAGGGTTCATCGCTTTTTCCCTGTTTTGTTGATCTCTGTTTATGTTGTAATCACCTACCACACACACACCTGTTGATTCACACTAACCACGTTTAATCATCCTAATCTGTGTTTAATTCCTTTTAATTAACAAATTAACTAATCCTTTTTTTAAAATAATCCAATAACTCTTTAATTAAAATCAATATATATGTTTTACTATTTAGATAAATAATTCATATCTATTAACCTTTTATTTAAATCACCCCCCAATTTATTTATTTATTTTGATAACTAAAAGCAACTTAAAAAAAAATCTTATTAATTCTTATTAACATATTTTGCTAAACTCTCTCAATTTAATAACCTTTTTTAAATAAATATCTACTCACTAATAAAACTCTTTATAAAATCATACCTCTTTGCCAAATCTATTTAGTTAATAATAAAGTCCTTAGTATATTAATCTACTTTTGGAAATAATAAAATCAATAATTTAATCTAACTCTTAATAATAACCATAACGTTTATCTTAAACCATCCTATTTAAGTTTTTTCGAGGTAGATATTGAATTAAATCATTTTTTTTAAAACCTCTCCTGTTAGAACCTAATTTAATCTAACTTTTCTCAAATCAAATCTCACCTAAAAATTAATCTATTCGATTAAAATCAATTCAATCTCGCCTAAAAACAATAAACATCATAAAATGTAATCCAATCGTGCACGCTCACGCTTACACTTCACAATTCACTCTCACACACTTCAGTGCTTTCATGCGTATGTGTATGACTTTACTTTTCCGCAATTTATTTTACGAGCAATTTTCATTATCGTATTTATTTCACCGTATTGCCTCCCGTCCAAAGGAAAAACCTACACATGAGTCAACACTTGTGTGTAGTGCACATCATTTGCATCATTCCCCTCATGATCCTTGATCCCATTCAAGTCGATCTCTTAGGACATATCCTACCCCGTAGGAGGACCTTTGTCTTTACTTTACAACATAGAAAAAAAAACAATCAACTCACTACAACATATTCAAACACAATAGAGAAATAGATGTTAATCATCTTAAGCGAGTTAGAATCTCCACCCCACATCAATACAATCAATACCGTAGGAACTTTGCCTTAAGAGAGATAGAGGCGTACATCGTCGATCAATATCCGAGTACTTGAGCCCTTCTCTTAAGACGATGCAAAGACTATTTTCCTACAATTTGTGGCGGTTAAATCTCCTTTAAAATGACAACTCACCTTTTCTCCTAAAATCAATCAACCAACTACCCTAAACCCGTAGGAACTTTGACCATAATCAAAGCACTCCTCTAACCCTTTAGGGGAACTACAAATACTCTGATTCCACTCCCGTAAGGATATGTAGGCATAAGATGCGATATCTTATCGAGTATACTTAGAATTAAACCCCTAGGTCCTTCAACCATTTAGCAGATAAACACTTAGCAATGAACAATATAAAACAAGAGGTTCCTGTAGAGTACTACAGAAACATAGGATGCTAGCACCTTCCCTAAGTTTAACCAACCCCCGAACCTAAAACTCTCTAGTTTGTATTTGCATTGCATTGTGGGAATTTCGATCTTTATCCCTTCCTTTGGACAAATCAAAGTTCGGTTGCAAATGAATAAGATTCAAACTAATCAATAGTTTGGTATCCAAATTTCACCGCGACAGTATCCATCAATTGAATGACCCAGTTTACAGCTTTAGCAGCAGGACGACACAGATCAAAACTAAACAACAATAATTTGAACGAGTATTAAACATAAAATAACAATATATAGCTAAATAAATATTATAAATTAAACATACCCAGATCCCTCAGGCCTAATCAGATGTCGTCCTTCAACCACCAAATGCTCCTCTGCAATAGGATTTGTCTGCTCCTCATGAACATCGTCATCCCCCTGAACAGTGTGGTCATCCTGCTGCTGACGCGCAGGTATATGTGAGGGGTGTGGAATGCTGGAGCCATATCCCTCTGGCTGGTGCGTGGAGGGTGTCGGCTAAGGAAAACTAGATCCTGAAGGCTGTGGCGTGAAGGAATACTGCTCAGGAAAAACAGATCCCCCAGGCTGTGCGAAGTGTCTGCTGAGGAAAACTAGATCCCCTAGGATGTGGCATGAAGGAATACTGTTGAGGAAGAAAACTAGCTCCCCCAGGAAAACTAGATCCCCCAGACTGTTGCGTAAACGTAGATGGTACCCCAAGCGGATGCATGAAGGATCCCCCCAAACGGACTAATAAACGATGGATTCCCAAATGGAACCGTTTGGGAGGAGGAGAGTAATGTCGTAAATGGTTGTGAAGTGTCTACAGACATTAGATCTACCTGAGAATGTGGGCGAGAAGCATACATGGGCGAGGGCGGTACCTCATGTACTCTGGCTCTCGAACGAGGCTGGGTCTCCTTAGCCTTACCCTTGTCAGTTCGGGGTGGCATTGTATCTATTTTGAAATAGTTATCAATAAATAAATAATACGTAAATAAATCAAGACTATTCATGCTCTTCGTAAATAAATAATACGTAAATAATACATTTGCATTCATATAAAACAAATAATACATTAATAAAAATTGTCCGGACACATATAAAACTATATATTCAAACTCTTCATGCTCTTCGACCATATTATTTTCATCATCTGATCCAATAATGTCCTCAGATCCAATATCTTCATGCTCTTTGTCCATATAATTATCTACCAACAAAACAGATGCATCAATTTGATGACCCTCGACCAATGTATCACACAAATTTGTAATTTCTTCAACTTCAACCACATCATTAATTTGAGAAATTTCATGGTCTTGGTAAGCAGCATCTTCCACTAGATCGTCAGTTTCAATATGACCCAATGGTTTTGTTTTGATTACAACACACCATCCACGTTTACGTGACTGAATTGAAGGGTACGGAACATAATAAACTTGTTTAACGATATGTGACATTATGAAAGGGTCATAACCATCCGGCATTCTCAATTCATTTAACCATCGACAAACCGCTTTAGCATCTTGGGAAGTTAGACTGTAACATGCCTTAGGTTTTAATAATTTTCCATTAGGCCGAGGCTTCAACTCCAACTCTTTTCTATCACACAAAATTTCCATGTCCCTTCTAGCCTTCTCATTATCCTTTGTTTTGCCTTGAACATCCATCATTGTATTAAATATATTATCGAAGAAATTCTTTTCAATATGCATAACATCAAGATTATGTCGTAATAAATTATCGTTCCAATATGGGAGGTCCCAAAATATACTTCTTTTTGTCCAATTGTGTTTGACCCCATATCCTTCAATTCTACATGCTTCACCGTAATCTATAAATTTTGGCAGTTCAGAAACTCAATTCCATATTTCCTCTGGTGACAATCGCGGAGGAGGCAAATCTTTTACTCGTACATCTTTTTTGAAATCAGTCTTGTTTCTTCTAAATACATGGTATCGTGGTAGGAATCTGCGGTGAGAGTCAAACCACAAACTTTTCCCTCCAAATTCCAAAGTAAAAGCCTTTGTAAATTCCATGCAATGTGGACATCCCATTTTGCCATGCATACCCCAACCAGATAACATTCCATAAGCGGGAAAGTCATTAATAGTCCACATCAAGGCAGCTTGCAAAGTAAAGTTTTGTTTGCGAGATATATCATAGGTCCATTCTCCAATCCACAACCTCTTCAAATCATCTATTAAAGGTTGCAAATAAACGTCGATTCCAGATTTAGGACTTGACGGTCCTGGAATGAGGCAAGTCAAAAACATGTATGGTTTTGTCATGCACATCTCTGGAGGGAAGTTATAAGGGGTTACGATAACTGGCCAACAGGAATATGCAATTGCAGATGCTTGGACGTATGGAGTAAAACCATCAGAGCATAGTCCGAGCCTGACATTTCTAGGTTCTCCAGCAAAATTAGAATGTACCCTATCAAAATGTTTCCATGCCTCACCGTCAGATGGATGCCGCATAATGCCTGAACATGTTTTGTTTGTATGATGCCATGTCATTTGACTTGCACTATGCATTGAAGAAAACAATCTTTTTAACCTTGGTATTATCGGCAAATAAAACACGGACTTCACTGCTACATGTCTTTGTTTACGGTTAATGACTTTACTACGAACTTGATATCTCAGACTACTACAGAACTTACATTCCTCCAGCGCCTCATCATTAATACCAAACTCATTGTCATAAAACAACATACATCCATTTATGCAACAATCAATCTTTCGTACTTCTAAACCCAACTTCGACACCAACCTCTTTGTATCATAATAACTTGTAGGCAAGTTGTCTTTCGTAGGAGTCGCATCCAACATCATTTTTGCAAAGTATTCCAAACACTGATCAGGAACATTCCAATTTGACTTTGCGGCCAATAATCTCACACACATTGATAATTTTGAATCTGCTGACCCCTCAAACAACAGTGTATTCATTTCTTTCAACAATTGGTAAAATCTTTGTACTTCCTCATTCGGCAACTCTTCCCCATCAAAATCCTGAGGTTCATCATATGTCACATTTACTCCAAATGCATTTCCAACCATTTCATCGATCAAATTAAATTTTTCATCAAATTCCATATGTGATCGAATGCTTGATGCATGTGTATTAGTTGTCTCTGCATGTACATTACTCGGCAGTTGTTCTCCATTATATGTCCAAACCCAATAATTTTTAATGAAACCCTTCCTCTTCAAATGACGTTCTACTTCCTCTGGATCACTAATTATAGGTCTACATTCACATTTAAGACAAGGACATCTCACTCCTCCTTCACGTCGACAATATTCTTGTGCAAATGTCCACGTGATAAACCCCTTAACTCCTTCCTCAAAATTTGGTGTAAGTCCACGTCTGCCTGGTAACGTTCTATCGTACATCCAACTATGATAGTAACGAAAATATTCCATACTGCAGATTTGTACTATCATTATATATCATTTTAATAAAATATGTAATTTAAATCTTTTTTTTCTATTTCGACACCAACCTAATAAAATATGTTCACTAAAATAATATAAATTATGTTTACTAAAATATACAACATATTCTCAAAATATAATATTCTAAAATATAATATATAATTTGTTTATTTATAATAACATATTTAACATATAATATATATTCATTAAGTTTAAAAATATGTTTTTCTAAAATAATATATATTATGTTTACTAAAATATAATAACTATTCAATAATATAATATTCTATAATATATATAATTGGTTTACTAAAAATAACACATTTAAAATATATATAATACATATTCATTATTTTTTAATAAAAATATTTTTTGAAAAAATAATACATTTAAAAATAACACATTTTAAATATAATACATATTCTTTATGTTTTGTAAAAAATATCTTTTAATTTTTTTTATTTATAATATTGTTTACTAAAAATATTTTTAAAAATTCTACTTTTTCTAACATAATAAATATTCTGTTTTTAAAAATTAAATATATATTACATATTTAATTTGTTTGTAATAAATATTCTGTTTATATATATTATTATGTTTTTAATTCGAAATATATATATTCTAAAGATATATATTCTACTACAAATTATTTTTATTTTTTTCTTTCAACAACAACAACACAATAAATAAAAAATTTCAAAAATATATCAACAACACAATATTTAAAATCTAAAATTTTATTATATATCAACAACAACATAACACAATAATATATCAACAAAAAATCTAAAATTTTCTTCTAAAATAATATTTCATATATATATATATATATATATATATATATATATATATATATATATATATATATATATATATATATATATATATATATATATATATATATATATATATATATATATATATATATATATATATATATATATATATATATATATATATATATATATATATATATATATATATATATATATATATATATATATATATATATATATATATATATATATATATATATATATATATATATATATATATATATATATATATATATATATATATATATATATATATATATATATATATATATATATATATATATATATATATATATATATATATATATATATATATATATATATATATATATATATATATATATATATATATATATATAGGCAAAATATCCTTCTTGGTCCCTTAACTATACCTCGGGGTTCATTTTGGTCCCTTAACTTTAAAAAGTTCCATATTGGTCCCTTAACTCTTCAAATGTTCCATATTAGTCCTTTTTGACCTATTAGCGACGGATTTAGCGACGGTTTTTTGATTTTTTTTCCGTTGCTAATAGGTTAAAAAGGACTAATATGGAACGTTTGAAGAGTTAAGGGACCAATATGGAACTTTTTAAAGTTAAGGGACCAAAATGAACCCCGAGGTTTAGTTAAGGGACCAAGAAGGATATTTTGCCATATATATATGTATATATATATATATATATATATATATATATATATATATATATATATATATATATATATATATATATATATATATATATATATATATATATATATATATATATATATATATATATATATATATATATATATATATATATATATATATCACAAAAATCTCAAAAATAATCAAATTGAAATGCATAAATACCTCAATGTGCTAACTCTATCAAAGCTTCCAATTGAACTTCTTAAATCTTAGATCTGGAAAAAAAAATCAACAAACAATTAATGATAAGATAAACATAAAATAAACCGTAAAACATTCACAAAAACAACATATATACCAATCACCTTAAGTTTTTTGTGAAATTTTTGTTAAAAATGGAGTTGTGAGGGAGGCAGTAGTAATGGAAGAATGAAGAAAAGGAAGAAAGCATGAAGAATGAAGAAGATGAAACGAGATGGTGCTGAAGGAAAGTCTGGCGAAATATTATATAGGGGCTTTTGCGACGTGGTGAACACGTGGGAAGGTACCCACGTAATTCCCACGTCGGAACAATAAAGCATCTTAAGCATTTGCGACGTGCATATCCTGTGGGAACATTGCCACATGCAAGCCACGTCAGAACATTCCCCAATATAAAATATATCCGTTGCTCCCACATAATAATAACCCAATGGTAAAAATGCAATTATGGTAGTGGGTTGCGACGTGGGAATCTCTTCACAAACTTGTCACTTTCAATTCCAACACGCAATGTGTCTGAAAAGTTAATGGAAAAGCTGAGACATTTTTTATTTGCAGATTTGCGACGTGCATTACATGTGGGTAATTTGTGACATGTTACTCACGTGAGAAATAAAAGGACTTTTTTGAATTTTCAGTTCCCACGTGTTTTACACGTCACAACTGAATTTTTTAAAATTTCAAACTTCCCTCTCGCTTAAAATTTCAATTTTTGGTTGAAGATTTTAGGTATAGATAATTTATTATTTAAATAGTTTAGTGACGTGGGAATCACTTGGCAACGTGTTTTTTTTTGCCACGTGATTAGCACGTCACTAAATCATTAGGCAAAATGGGCATTTTCTTGTAGTGGTTAGCTAAGCTTATTTGTTTTCTTCTAAATGCGAAGGCAGAAAGATACGATAAAAGGTTTCGATGCTAAGGGAAAAAAGGGTAGTTTTAGATTAGGGTGCTCGCCAAGGATTGGGGCCCTTGTGCTTACGTATGCTCATTCAGACGAGAATGAGGAATCAGGGCACTCGTAGTTCGATTACGGGAAAATGTTAGACGAAAAAAGGTGGAAAAAAGAAAAGGTAGACGTAAACAGGGAAAAAGAAAAAGGTAGCTCGCCAAGATCATCGCAATCTTGTGCCTACGTATATTTATTCAAAAGGGATTGAAGAATCAAAGCGTTCATAGTTCGTGGATACGACCATAAAAGAAAGTGAATGGTGTTTTGCTTGGATGACGATTACTTGAAGCTTAGGAAAGGCTCCTCGGACCCAAGTAATCGGGAGAGTGAATCGAAGACTTGACTCTCTCTCTTTTTCAACCATAATTGTGAAAGAGTTTTGATATAGTTAGAGTAAACTGAACGGATGACGGTTACTCGAAGCTTAAGAAAGGCTCCTCGGGCCTAAGTAATCGGGAGAGTGAATTGAAGACTCGACTTTCTCTCTTTTTCAACCTTAATTTGTGAAAGAGTTTTGATAGTTGTTATGTTTTCTGAAGTTTGATGGAGAAAATCCACTTGATGTTGGATCAAGGGTTTGATTGTATGCGAAGAGATTGATTTTGAGTAAAAAGGCACTCGACTTAAAAGTTGTTTTGAAAATGCCACTTGACGATGAATCGAGGGTTTGCAAAAAGAGGTGTGAATTGATCTTAGTCCCTAGGGGTGCTCCTAGTAACGAAACCATGATGAAATGTGTGAGTGTGTGCATTAGGTTGATGGAGAATGCTAATGAGCAATCGACTTACGAGGGTGTTTTTAAAAGTGGATCGATGGTGAATTTAGAATTAGTTTGAAAATGGTTTAGTCTATGCTAGTCCCTAGGGATGCTCCTAGTAAACAAAACCATAATAAAAAAGTGAGTAAAGTGTGTACATCAGAATGGGAGCGGGGTACATGTAAGTTACACGGGATTGTGAGAAATAAGTGGGGTCATTGTCAGGTAGCCCAAGAGGAAGTCGTGTGTGTGCGAGGTATCCTAAACTAAGCCACGAACAAGAGTTTAGACAAAAATACTCCTTGCTAGGGTTTTTGTACAAAGTCCAAAATCCGTTGCTCGGAAAAGTAACCACAATCCACCAATTGAATCTTTTAGGGTTTTGATATTTTTAGTGTGTTTTTGAATGTTATGAACAAGGTGATAAGACGAATATGATATGAATAATATGACAATGATAGAATAAGATTACAATATGAATAATAATATGAACAATAATATATTGATAGAAAGATAAAACAATAACATATTGAGGGTAAAATAAAGTTAGTGGTTACTTGTTAATCGTTAATTGTCATTAATCAGATGAATTGGGTGCACTTTAGCGCTAAACAATCGTAGAACGATCTATGACGAAGATCATGCCATAGGAGGCCACACAAGAATAATGTTTGTGCTAAAGCACGATAGAGAAACGATATTTTGAACCATTCTCTAAGGAAATCGTGCCACACGAAAAGAAAAGCGAATGGTCTCGTCTTAATCACAAACTTACGTCGATTAATTGAAGGTAACCTATCACAATTCCAAAGTATAGAAAATGATCTCAATGATCATTTTCTACTGATTTGAAACCATGAAGGTTAAACAACCTCAATCAACCAACATCTATGAATAAAAAAACTTCATCGACCATAATGAAAAGAAAATAAAATCGAAAAGAGAAAACAAAATGGAAGTGAAAAGATCATAACTCAAGAACTAAGTTTCTAATTGTGAAAAACAAGTATTTTGAAATTTAAAAAAAAAAGAATAAGAAGAAAATGTTAAAAATAAAAATAACAAAGCAAGAACAGGGAGCGTAAAATGGAATTTGGGTGTACAAAGTGTGGGGTCATGTGGGCTTAAGCCCATCACCCATTCCAAAACAACACGCTCAAAATAGAAAAAAGAAAAAGGATGGTACTTAAAAAGGATTATGGCCCAATACTTTTATTAACACATAAGAGTGAAACTTGCATTCTCAATTTTCATAAATTCATATAAGTTTCACTCTCTTATATTTTGAGCACTTGATAAGTTATATAGAGGTGTAAAATTAAGAGGAAGATCAATCAAAATATTGATAAATTTGAAGACACTTTCAATACCATTCAAATACGTTATTCAAATATCTTGTGATTACATTCTTAAGTGTTCCAGGATTGGTGGAATTAAGATTGTAAGGATTGTTACCTTGCTGTCCAGGATTATTGGAAGTAAGAGGTCCACATTGAGAGGATTGTTCTCATTGGACTTAGTTAAAAATCCAAGAGTGTGTTGTTGGTA